GTTGACAATCCTTTGTTTCTGTTCACAAATTGTGACTGAATAAACTGATGTGACGTTTTTATTAATCAAATCCACAATTTCATTTAATTTAATTTCAAAAACTTATGAGGCGCAAGTATCTATATAAATATATTCAAATGCGCCATAGAGAAAAAAAAAAACAAAACAACAACAAAAAAGCAATAATACTACTAAACAAGGAAGACTCACGGGTTTCATAACCATTCCAATCTATCAACTTTGTCAACTCTATCATCATCACCTCCACCACCACCACCTCTACCATGATCATCATCATCATCATCATCATCATCATCAGTAGTTAACTTAAATATGATGAAAATGAAAGGAAAAGCTTATGGGGTCGTTTACCGTACATGATAAAAGTCAAAATTATAAATAGTATACAATTTAAGAAAAATATTGTAGCAGCGACTCTAAAGTTCCAGACCGAACTCTACAAAACCAGTTTGGAATGTACAATGAAAGCTGAGAAAGTCAGTTCTAAGGTCGAGCCATCCGACCACCAGTATGATTAAGGACTGTGTTACAAGTAAAGCAACTGACATTTGTGCATCTCTTTGTTAATAGCGACTTACAAATGTGCGTATTATCCGTAGCTTTCCTTATTAATCCAATTTTTAGAATAAACGTTACAGACTACACCTTTCTGGCTCCCTTTGTCTCGTGTTCACCTTGTAAACTTTGATTAGAAACTTTACAAGTCCAGCTTGCGATATATTAACTTTTAGATCATATAGATGACAACTGCAGTTCCTGTATGATTTAACTATTATCGGATGAGGCTGAGCATCATCTAAAGAATTATGGAGATCGAGGAGGGTGTTATCCGCCGAGGCCGATTTAGCTGAGATCTCTGAGATCTCCATAATTCTTGAGATAATACGAAAGCCGAATCCAATGATTGTTTTAATATTCATTCAAAATAATTCCTGGTTAAAAAACAAGCTAAATCATGCTTACCTCCATCGATGTTAAGTTCATCTTCAATTGCCTGTTCATCAGCAAGTTTAGGAGATTTAAAACGGTTGTTCAGTACTGCAAAATAATAAGTTTTAAATTTTAGAGAATTTTAGCATTTTCAGCGTCTCCAATTAGAAAATTATTCAAGTTTAAAACGTTGACGAAAACACACAAGAGAAAACCATTTCAGCAAAATTCCTAGGAAACTCAGTTTTACAAATAACTATATTGAATGAATTATGCGAATGGGTCTTGTTACGCTCTACGGATGGATAGTGATGTACACCTAATTTGAATAGCTTTGTCTTAGAAAAATAGTTAAAGGATAGATAGAGTCTTAAAGAAGGAAGAAAAAAACAAATAGGGAATTAATTAGGCCTGCTTATACAGCTAAATCAAAACAGGTTGCTTTGGTAAATGGTCATTCGGGGATAAGGAACGACGCAATGATTTACTTGAGTGAACACCAAATAATAGCTTCCCAATGCCCAATTCCCAAAGCAACCTTTATTGAATCAGCTATAAACCTAGACAGATGTAGGGTACATTCATTTGCTGCAAAGAGTCTTTGGGGCGTAAAAGCAAATACACCCTAATGTATGTGGTTTAATAGTAAGTCTAATAAATTCTTATTTGGATTTTTACATTTTTCATTTTTCTTTTAACATTTTTCTATGACAACGTTATTGTAATTGACGTCAACGCGACCCCGTCAGGTAACGCGATTTTTGCATGGCAACGAGCGGTTCGTAAGGGTGTAAATAAATCGATAATGTGTCAAGATGCATTAACAATCCACCACAATTTCCGCTAATTTCTCGAAACCTCGGTACAGCAGACATGAATAGGTCGTACGTAGCACTGGCATGTGTCAGATGGACAGTTAAACCGAAATCTAGCGCTGAAATGCTGGCAAAAAGAACATAGTTTTTCACTTACAATATTGTCTTGATTTGCTTGACCGCAGCTACCGATTTGCATTTTTAGGTCGACGTGTCTTAAAAACCTCGTATCACTATGGGTGCCGGAGCATCGAGAAACCACCACTCTAAAGGAATACCGTCACCGCCACGCGAGAGCCTTTCGCCAGTAAAGGATACGGTTCAACCAAAGATTCCTGTCCAAGATCAACATTTCAGTCACGAAGCACAGAATAAGGACATAAAAGAGCAGGTTCATGTTGCTCGAACCAGTCAGACCAGTACGGATAAGAAAGCTTCACCCAACGATACTCTTGAAACGTACAAGGCCAAATATCCCTACCAAGCTGAGGATCTAGAAACAATGCTTGAAAGACTACAAGCTCTCAAAAACTTTGTTGATAAAAATTTAAATGATCTTGAAGACTATGCCAAGGTGGGTAGGCAGACAATCCACCGTTTATTTGTTACAAGCGTCCACACATATGAATCCACTGGGACTCAAGAGGAAAAACAATTCATCACACTTATGGAATTCACGATTGATGTCGGTGGCGCTGAACAATTGAAACTTTTCGTACAGCATTGCTATAAGAAATTCAGCTACCTTATTAAAGAAGAGTCCGACGATGAAGATTCCGTCGATAAGGAAGAACCTAACGACAATAAAAAGTCCGACGAAGAAGAAGAACCTAACGACAAGGAAGAGTCCGACGATGAAGAAGAACCTAACGACAATGGAGTGTCCGACGATGAAGAAGAAACTGAGGACTACACATGTTACGATTGTCTATGTAGTACTCTAGGGGTAATACAAAACTTCTCAGACTTTCACCAAGGTTTTTGCTCAGCGTGTGCGCGTGCAGGTATCATTTCAATGTGCTTTGAAATCATAAAACAAATTGATGCTGAAAATTCCAACTGGGAAGAGAAAGACTTGCGGCTAATTGCAATAATTGACAGTTCTGTTGGAATTCTGCATAACATTTCACGGCGAGTAAGGGACCGTGAGCTGTTTGCTAACCGTGAGCAAACTTTGCTTTACTTTGCTAAGAAAAACGTTCCAACAATTGCAGCCCTATCTCTGCTAACTCTAGCATATTTAGTCGATGAAAACACGAATCACCTCATTTTGGCGGATGAGAACTTGCTTAGCTTTCTAATAACATTATTAGATGAGGCATGGCAGTCGGAAGATCGACGTTCGACCGCCCTATTTTCTGCAAAGGAACTCGCAGAAGGCCTTAGCCACCTGGCCATCAACGACGCCAATAAGAATATTNGCCGGAGCATCGAGAAACCACCACTCTAAAGGAATACCGTCACCGCCACGCGAGAGCCTTTCGCCAGTAAAGGATACGGTTCAACCAAAGATTCCTGTCCAAGATCAACATTTCAGTCACGAAGCACAGAATAAGGACATAAAAGAGCAGGTTCATGTTGCTCGAACCAGTCAGACCAGTACGGATAAGAAAGCTTCACCCAACGATACTCTTGAAACGTACAAGGCCAAATATCCCTACCAAGCTGAGGATCTAGAAACAATGCTTGAAAGACTACAAGCTCTCAAAAACTTTGTTGATAAAAATTTAAATGATCTTGAAGACTATGCCAAGGTGGGTAGGCAGACAATCCACCGTTTATTTGTTACAAGCGTCCACACATATGAATCCACTGGGACTCAAGAGGAAAAACAATTCATCACACTTATGGAATTCACGATTGATGTCGGTGGCGCTGAACAATTGAAACTTTTCGTACAGCATTGCTATAAGAAATTCAGCTACCTTATTAAAGAAGAGTCCGACGATGAAGATTCCGTCGATAAGGAAGAACCTAACGACAATAAAAAGTCCGACGAAGAAGAAGAACCTAACGACAAGGAAGAGTCCGACGATGAAGAAGAACCTAACGACAATGGAGTGTCCGACGATGAAGAAGAAACTGAGGACTACACATGTTACGATTGTCTATGTAGTACTCTAGGGGTAATACAAAACTTCTCAGACTTTCACCAAGGTTTTTGCTCAGCGTGTGCGCGTGCAGGTATCATTTCAATGTGCTTTGAAATCATAAAACAAATTGATGCTGAAAATTCCAACTGGGAAGAGAAAGACTTGCGGCTAATTGCAATAATTGACAGTTCTGTTGGAATTCTGCATAACATTTCACGGCGAGTAAGGGACCGTGAGCTGTTTGCTAACCGTGAGCAAACTTTGCTTTACTTTGCTAAGAAAAACGTTCCAACAATTGCAGCCCTATCTCTGCTAACTCTAGCATATTTAGTCGATGAAAACACGAATCACCTCATTTTGGCGGATGAGAACTTGCTTAGCTTTCTAATAACATTATTAGATGAGGCATGGCAGTCGGAAGATCGACGTTCGACCGCCCTATTTTCTGCAAAGGAACTCGCAGAAGGCCTTAGCCACCTGGCCATCAACGACGCCAATAAGAATATTCTGGGACAAAACGGTATCATTCCTGTTTTGATTTCGGTGATCAAAACGTCGAACGAGGATGAGGAGAAGGCCAGTGCTACAAGAGCATTGTGGATGTTAGCCTTTGATGACAATAACAAAAAAGAAATACGTCAAGAAGAAGGGGCTATGGACATCTTACACCAGTTACAGCAGAGCGAGAACCCAGAAGTGCAGAAAGCTGCTGCAGGTGCATTGTGGGAAATCGAAGGGAAGACAGCTAGGCACTTAGAGAGGATCGAATCGACCGGGAATCACGTGATGATCAGCTACCAATGGGATTCCCAGGAAGTGCTCGTCGAAGTGAAAAACAGGCTTCAAGCAAGTGGATACAGAGTATGGATGGATCTGGAGCAGATGGGAGGATCGACCTTGGAGACAATGGCTAAAGCTGTGGAGAACTCTTCTGTCGTCCTCGTCTGTGTCTCGGAACGATACAAGGAGAGTCCTAACTGTCGTTCAGAGGCCGAGTACACGTATAAGTTAGGAAAGGATATTATTCCACTGATGATGCAACGCAACTACAAACCAGACGGTTGGCTGGGAATGCTTCTGGGAACGAAGTTTTGGATTGATTTCCACAGCAAACACATTGTAAAAACAGGAGTAACAAAACTTATTAAAGAACTAGGAGGAAGAGGAAAGGATGTTGACGTGACAGATGGACCATCCGAGCCAGTGGTGCAAGCAGTTCAAGCTGTTGCCACTTTGCCCTCATCCCTTGGAGTGTCTACCTGGACTAATGAAGAGGTTAAACAGTGGTTCAAAGAAATCGGATTAGAAAAGGTTTGTAAGGAAGACATTTCGAGGATGAATGGACAGTCACTGACTGATCTTCAGAAATTACGCGAGGAATGCCCCGAGTATTTCTACAGATGTTTAGAAAGGGACTTGAACTTGACGAACATGGTAGATATATTCACATTTACGAAGGGGCTGGGGGAGCTGTGTTAAGAAGGACAGACATTGATTGACCTTCAACAACCAATGCGCAATGAACGGTTAGAGGAATATAAACCCACAAGATCCCATCCTCAATAAAAAACTGCAAAGTCGTTACTGAATACCGTAAATTCCGAAAATAAGCCCCTCCAAATATAAGCCCCCCGGTAAATTTTCTTCCAAGAATAAGGCTAGCCCAATCGATTTTTAGACGCAAATTTCCCTCCATACATAAGCCTCTCCAAAAATAACCCCCTCAAAAAGGGCCTTTGAAAAATATAAGCCCCTGGGCTTATTTTCGGAATTTAACGGTATTAGCCTAAACGTACGGGTGCTTACCATCCACACAAACACCTTGAGCATAAACATGAAACTTTTTAACTTGACGTGGTGGGACAACGACCCTCTACAAAGTATTTCCAAATAAGCTGAACAGACCAAGAAAAGAAGAAAAACTGCATCGCCTCAGATCACAGCCCATATTTTCTGAAGCTTCCAAAACGGGATGGGGCAAGCCATTTGATTTTCGATCCGGAATTTCCGGTTTTCCCATGTAAATGGCAAGTAGCCGCAAACAACACCTGTTTTCACTAACTGGGACTGAGACTGTGTGAGGATTATAAGGATTACGCATATAAGAATTATGCATATATTTTTCTGCACATATATTCCCACATAGTATATACAAACTCAGTAATCTTGGTGATTTAAGCAATCTGATTGGTTCGCTATCTCGGACTATTCAACAATATTCACCTCCCAGCGAGTGGATAATGTGTGAGCTCGGTTTTTTTCCCATTTTCTTAGAGAAAGATCTTTTAAAAGATTTTTCCATTTACTGTTGTTGAGTTTTGTGGTCGATGGATTGTTTACAACTCCCGTTTATTCGCCTAGAAGAGGCCGTTTCGTGAACTCAGCGTTTCCTAACATGAAAAATCTGGCCCAAAAACAAAGTTTATTTATGACAAACAAATTTGAAAGCAAATGTTTGCAGAAATTCTACATTTCAAGTAAACACGAGAAAGAATGCTACATGACGACGACGTCTTACCTCGAGGAACCGAATCGCTATTTTTGTCAGCACTTCATGCGAAGAACGACACAACAAACCTTTTCGGCTATAAACTTGGCGAGTCAACAGAAAACAACAAAGCTCTTCTTTTCTTCTCAGGTAAGGAAACAATTCAAACTTTTAGCGGTTCCATTTAAGTCATTACGCTGTTGTTTGCGAAGTGATAAGCTTGTGAATTGCTATGTTTGAAAAATTCTACAAAGATCTATTTTTAAACTGTCGCGTGTCTAGCTGACCTGATTTGTCAATCAAATCGTACTTTTTAATGGTTTCCTCTCTGATTTTGTTGAGATCACTTCGTGTGTGTATACTAAAACAATTATTCTTTTCAATCTCGGTGAATAGTGGCTTTAGGAATATTTACCTCGCCACTTCGTGGCTCGGTAAATATTTTGCCTCTATTCACCTCGATTTCAAAGAATAATTGTTAAATGTATCTATTATACAATACTTTCCATTATTTACACATAAATTTAGCTTATAGTTAGATTTAGATCTATTTCAAATTTGTATTTTCCATTATACTGTACCTATTTAGATAGTTTCTTTTTTGGCAGAGAAGAGTCAATTGTTGTTGGAATGTCAATATACCATTATAATAATGACGATGGCGATGATGATGATGATGATGATGATGATGATGATGATGATGATGATAAAACCAAGTCCGATCCGCCGGGTTGCATTGCCAATTGACCACCTTCAGAAAATACCATAACATACCATAATGCTCTTTGTTTGTCACCCCAAAATTTTGCATAAGCATTGTTTTCAGTTTCTCTTGGGGCCACTTTAAATCGCAACAAAAACTGAAGACAAAGCTTATGCAAAATTGTGGGGTGACAAACAAAGAGCATTATGGTATGTTATGGTATTTTCTGGAGTGGTCAATACTATTTTGTCGTTCTAGTAGTTCATCTCCTTTGCAGTTGAGCTGTTACTATAATTAAGTTCCTGGGACGTTATTTGAACACTAAGGTCGAAGAAACAACCAGCAACATCATCAACACCATGGTTAGTAAAGGAGATTGGTTACTATGAAAAGCGGCAAACATTAAAGATAAACACTACAGTGCTGCAGTTTATGTTGGAAGCTCCTTGACGGTGACAATCCTTTGTTTTTGTTCACAAATTGTGACTGAATAAATTGATGTGACGTTTTTATTGGTCAATAAGATCAAAATGATAGAAATGCTATTGAACGTTGTGCACCGTCAAATCCACAAAAACGTATAACAAGGGAGTCTCACGGGTTTCATAACCATTCCACTCTATCAACTTTGTCAACTCTATCATCATCACCTCCACCACCACCACCACTACCATGATCATCATCATCATTATCATCAAACTTGTCACTTTTATCATCATCATCATCATCATCATCATCATCATCATCATCAGTAGTTAATTTAAACATGATGAAAATGAAAGCAAAAGCTTATTGAGTCGTTTAATGTACATGATAAAAGTCAAAATTACAAATAGTATACAATTTAAGAAAAATATTGTAGCAGCGACTCTAAAGTTCCAGACCGACCTCCACAAAACCAGTTTGGAATGTACAATGAAAGCTGAGAAAGTCAGTTCTAAGGCCGAGCCATCCGACCACCAGTATGATTAAGGACTGTGTTACAAGTAAAGCAACTGAAATTTTTGCATCTCTTTGTTAATAGCGACTTACAAATGTGCGTATTATTCGCAGCTTTCCTTATTAATCCAATTTTTAGAATAAACGTTACAGACTTCACCTTTCTGGCTTCCTTTTGTCTCGTGTTCACCTTGTAAACTTTGATTAGAAACTTTACAAGTCCACCTTGCGATATATTAACTTTTAGATCTTATAGATGACAACCGCAGTTCCTGTATGATTTAACTATTATCGGATGAGGCTGAGCATCATCTAAAGAATTATGGAGATCGAGCAGGGTGTTATCCGCCGAGGCCGATTTAGCTTAGATCTCCATCATTCTTGAGATAATACGAAAGCCGAATCCAACGATTGTTTTAGGATTCATTCAAAATAATTCCGGGTTAAAAAACAAGCTAAATCATGCTTACCTCCATCGATGTTAAGTTCATCTTCAATTGCCTGTTTATCAGCAAGTTTAGGAGATAAACGGTTGTTCAGTACTGCAAAATAATAAGTTTTAAATTTTAGAGAATTTTAGCATTTTCAGTGTCCCCAATTTAGCAAATTATTCAAGTTTAAAACGTTGAAGAAAACTCACAAGAGAAAACCATTTCAGCAAAAAATTTCTAGGAAACTCAGTTTTACAAATAACTATTGAATGAATTATGGGTCTCCGCGCTCCATGGATGGATACTGATGTACACCTAATTTGAATAGCTTTGTCTTAAAAAAAAGTTAAAGAAAGACAGAGTCTAAAAGAAGGAAAAAAATACAAATGGGGAATTCATTACGCCTGCTTATACAGCTAAATCAAAAAAGGTTGCTTTGGTAATTCGTCATTCGGGCATACGGAATAATGCAATGATTTACTTGAGTGAACGCCAAATAATAGCTTCCCAATGCCCAAAGCAACCTTTATTGAATCAGCTATAAACCTAGACAGATGTAGGGTGCATTCATAGCAAATACACCCTAATGTATGTGGTTTAATAGTAAGTCTAATAAATTCTTATTTGGATTTTTACATTTTTCATTTTTCTTTTAACATTTTTCTATGACAACGTTATTGTAATTGACGTCAACGCGACCCCGTCAGGTAACGCGATTTTTGCATGGCAACGAGTGGTTCGTAACGGTGTAAATAAATCGATAAGAACAATCCACGACGATTTCCGCTAATTTCTCGAAACCTCGGTACAGCAGACATGAATAGGTCGTACGTAGCACTGGCATGTGTCAGATGGACAGTTAAACCGAAATCTAGCGCTGAAATGCTGGCAAAAAGAACATAGTTTTTCACTTACAATATTGTCTTGATTTGCTTGACCGCAGCTAGCGATTTACATTGTTTAGGTCGACATATCTTAAAAACCTAGTATCACTATGGGTGCCGGAGCATCGAGAAACCACCACTCTAAAGGAATACCGTCACCGCCACGCGAGAGCCTTTCGCCAGTAAAGGATACGGTTCAACCAAAGATTCCTGTCCAAGATCAACATTTCAGTCACGAAGCACAGAACAAGGACATAAAACAGCAGGTTGATGTTGCTCGAACCAGTCATACGAATACGGATAAGAAAGCTTCACCCAACGATACTCTTGAAACGTACATAGTCAAACATCCAGACCAAGCTGAGGATCTAGAAACAATGCTTGAAAGACTACAAGCTCTCAAAAACTTCGTTGCTAAAAATTTAAATGACCCTGAAGACTATGCCACGTTGGGTAAACAGACGATCGAGGGTTTATTTGAAACAAGTGTCCACACTTTCGAATCCGCTGGGACTCAAGAGGAAAAAGAGTTCATCACACTTATCGAATTCACCATTGATGTCGGTGGCGCTGAACAATTGAAACTTTTCGTACAACATTGCTTTAAGAAATTCAGCTACCTCATTAATGAAGAGTCCGACGATGAAGAAGAAACTGACGACTACACATGTTACGATTGTCTTTCAAATACTCTAGCGGCAATACAAAACTTCTCAGACTTTCACCAAGGTTTTTGCTCAGCCTGTGCGGGTGCAGGTATCATTTCAATGTGCTTTGAAATCGTCAAACAAATTGATGCTGAAAATTCCAACTGGGAAGAGGAAGATGAAGACTCGGAGCTAGTTACAATAATTGACAACTCTATTGGAATTCTACATAACATTTCACGGCGACTGAGGGACCGTGAGCTGTTTGCTAACCGTGAGCAAACGTTGCTTTACTTTGCTAAGAAAAAAGTTCCAGCAATTGCAGCTGAATCTCTGCTTACTCTAGCATATTTAGTTGATGAAAACACGAATCATCTCATTTTGGCGGACGAGAACTTGCTTAGCTTTATAATAACATTATTAGATGAGGCATGGCAGTCGGAAGATCGACATTCGAATGGATATTCTGCAAAGGAACTCGCAGAAGGCCTTGGTCACCTGGCTATCAACGACGCCAATAAAAATATTTTGGGACAAAACGGGGTCATTCCTGTTTTGATTTCAGTGATCAAAACGTCGAACGAGGATGAGGAGAAAGCCAGTGCTACAAGAGCATTGTGGATGCTAGCCTTTGATGACAATAACAAAGAAAAAGTACGTCAAGAAGAAGGGGCTATAGACATCTTACACCAGTTACAACAGAGCAAGAACTCAGAAGTGCAGAAGGCTGCTGCAGGTGCATTGTGGGAACTGGAAGGGAAGACAGCTAGGCAATCCTCAGAGAAGATAGAATCGACCGGGAATCACGTGATGATCAGCTACCAATGGGATTCCCAAGAAGTGCTCTTCGAAGTGAAAAACAGGCTTCAAGCAAGTGGATACAGAGTATGGATGGATCTGGAGCAGATGGGAGGATCGACCTTGGAGGCAATGGCTAAAGCTGTGGAGAATTCTTCTGTCGTCCTTATCTGCGTATCCGAACGATACAAGGAGAGCCCAAACTGTCGTTCAGAAGCGGAGTACGCGTATCAGTTAAGAAAAGATATCATTCCGCTGATGATGCAATGCAAATACCGAGGAGACGGTTGGCTTGGTATGCTCGTGGGAACAAAGTTGTGGTTTGACTTTCAGAATAAACAGGTATTAGAACAAGGTGTAACGAAACTAATTAGAGAGCTAGGGGGAAGAGGAAAGGAGCTGGACTTGACAGATGGACCATCCGAACCAGCAGTTCGAACAGTTCAAGCAGATCTTCTTGTCCCACCCTCATCCCCTGGGGTGTCTACCTGGACTAACAAAAATGTGAAGCAGTGGTTTAAAGAAATCGGATTGGAAAAGGTATGCAAAGAAGACATTTCAGAGATGAATGGACAGACACTGATAGATCTTCAAGAGCTCCGTGGAGAATGCCCTGATTACTTCTATAAATGCATCGAGCGCACTCTCAAACTGACAGACATGTTTGACTTGCTAAAGTTTAGGAAGGAGCTCAGCAAACTAGTATAAAAATGAGCTACACTTTACCTTGTTAAACTACAGCGCAGTTCGCCCAGCAGTTCTTACAAGAGATACCTTCTTTTAAATTCTTTAAAAATCAAAATGACGCATCTTTGAATATCGTTTCTTTATATTGCTGCACAACTTTTAAATGCACATTTGATTGAACAGTGGCTTCATTCTCCAATTCCATTTGCCACACACTGAAAACCAAATAGTAACATGTGAAGGTTTGATTTGAATGGTCACACCATAGGGTTTCATACACAGATTCAAAAGTTTTGTTTTGTGCTACATAGTACAAAACAAAATAGTACCATGTGAAAGTTATGCTGAAGAGGTTTCATTTCAATGGTCACACCATAGTAAGTAATACCAATAATAAGTAATACCAAGAAATTTGAAGTGATGGTTATAGGCACAAACCATGCTGTAAAGACTGCTTGTGAATTACAAGTCATGCTTGATGATAAACCCTTGAAACAATTCGAACACTTCAACTATTTAGGACTGGTCGTTGACAATCGACTGAACTGAAATAATCGCATTTCTTATATATCCTCCAAGGTTTATCCCAAACTGAAGATATCAAATAGGATTTCATACTTTTTAAATAGAAATAATCTGTTAAGAATTTACAAGCAAAACATTTTACCTATATTTAATTATGGGTGTATAGTTTGGGGAGACTGTGGTAAACAGAAATTATGCGCCGACAGAATCAAGCAATGAGCTGCTCATTGCAAATCTTGTACTCAGGACATGCGTACGAAGTTGGCTCTTTTATCACTATTGAGTAGACGTTGTTTTCTAAGATTTCAGTTAGTTTATAAAATTGTTCATAATGTCAACTGTCTCGACCAGCTAAAGAACTATCTAGTTAAGGACCCTTTTGATAACAGTTCTTTTTATTAGAACTGATAGGTTATCCTGTATAAATATTCGCGTTATTATTATTATTATTAAGAGATCACAATTACACAACTGAAAGATCTCTTAGGGATGCTACTCAGCTAGATTTAGGAGATACAATGTCCTCAACGATGGGGCATTCATCGTTTAAGTTTGCCGCTGCCAAGGACTGGAACCATCTTCCGAAAGAGTTAAGAGAACTTGGTTCAATATCTAGTTTTAAAACTGAGGTTTTTAGGTATTTCTTGGAATTGGATCAAAAGCAGCACGTCTGAACTGCTAAATATTATTATTATTATTTTTTTGGATTTTTATATATATTTATATAATTATATATATATTTTTTATTTTTGTGTTAGGCTACTTTTAATTTTACAGATCTTTAGCATACATAACTCTTTTGCATGTTTTTTGATTACTATTGCTGATCACCAGTTAATACCAGCTGGTCCTCTGTGCTCAGCTGATCAGTTTTCTATCAGGATAAATAAAGTTATCATTATTATTATTATTATTATTATTATTATTATTATCATTATTATTACCAATCAGATCAATAACCAGAGTATAATACCATCAACTGACGTGACACAACTCACTTTGACTCTGAAGATGACTACCGCACAGGTTGTTGAAACGTCAGTCACTGTCAACAACAACAGTCCTATTCAGGACTACGTTCACCCGGACGATCAAACTCAACCTTTTGATAATTATTATTATTATTATTATAGGATTTCATCAACGGACAAAAACGTTGGTACTACATAGTACAAAACAAATAGTACCATGTGAAAGGAATACCAAAGAAGTTTCATTTCAATGGCATTATGGTCACACCATAGGATTTCATCTATGGACAAACACAAGTAAAAGCACTCCATAGAAAGTAAAAGTACCGTGTAAAAAATTGATTTTCTTTTGAATAGTTACACGCTGGTATTTAATAAAACTTAAATTTACGTACCCAAACAAGAGTCCAGGAGTGAGGGAGATAAACACTGCTTAACTGAAATCAATTTATTCCTTTGTGATCAAGCTACTTCTTTCATTTTATCAACATGTTAGCAGTGTCATTACAGTAGCATTAACTAATTCAAGCATATCTTGATGTTATTCTCCTAAAACAAATCAGCCATTCCTTCCTCTAAAAACCGCTTGTAAATACTCATGAATTTGGCAACAAATGCCTCCAGATGGTAGATGGCTTTGTTTCCCTGGTGAATGCGATGTTCATAGTGGGCCGCCATACTTGTTACTTCGGCTTTTAAACTGCCATCACAGTTGGCCACTAATTCAGATATCAAGCCCTTGAAAATAAAATATTTCTTTAAATTTCACTGTTGTTTAAGGAAGGTAATGGGACATTTTTAAAAGGGTTGTCCAATGCAGTCGAAAATTTTGGCGTTTTGAAAAGATGATTGCATGTGAAGTTTTAACTGTGGCAAAAACAGCCTTTCCAGCTGAACCATGTATAGTTGTACATGTAGCTGGAACCTTTCAAAAAGGTTGTAAGAAACCGTTTCACAGTAAGTGACATGTCAAATCTTTGTATTTTGGGTAGCCTGCGAGCCAGCACTCCAGGGTGGGAAGAGAAAGGATAGATTGCAACTACGTCTCTTGAATTCGAATATCTGCATCGAAAAAATCGATGCAAAGTGCTGATTGGTGGAGATGACATTAGAAATGACGTCATTACCCTTGGCACATGCTTTCACATGCTTTTCAATGTTTGTTTACATTTGCACTTGTTTCCGCTTCGTGCTGATTGGCGGAAATCTGACAGCTCAGTCGACAGGAAGCCACAGGGGAATTGGAGGCGAAATTCAAATTCCCCAGAAATAGTTGCAAGCTCTCCTTCCTTTCCCCACCCCGCTGCCAGAGTGCCCCAGAGAGCTTGCTCACAGGCTAGATTTTGTGTTCTTTAAGATAGCTTTGATTGATTGGAAAATCTGTGCTTACCTTTAAAATGATATCAGGGGGAATGCAGTGGGTGAGCAGTTCATACAGTCTGCTACGTATTTCCATCAACCTAAATAGATAAATACAACACAAAGCATAAAAACAAAAAAATGATAATAATACTAGATCTAAATTTTATTGTACAGTGCACTGTCATGTGATTCTCCTTAACCGGTGGTAGTAAGGTTGGATAATCACAAACACAATCGTAACAAATGTGCCCTAGACTCTTGAATTGCTGCCTAGACTAAAACTGACCCTAATTTATGTTGCTAGCTGGTACAATGCCACGAAAACAGGGTCATCCCTGGTGTAATATAATTTATTTGTTTTCTTTGTTTTATGGAATATTGTCAGGATTAGGTTCATTGTTAAGGATGTTTTGTTTTCTTTGTTTTACGTCAGCTGTGATGCTATATTATTACACCAGAGATGAGCCCAAAAACAGACCTCTAATTCTCCCTAGGTTAACGAATAAATTAATAAGAGTCAACAGTACTTAAAACAACACTTTGGTACAGTCTTCTCTCTCTCTCTCTCTCCTCTCTCTAAGACAGACGCCATCAGGACCCACAGTAAGTGTCCATCTCACAGTGACAGAATGTAGAATAAAGAGACTACAGAATTTTATTAAGGTGTCCATTTTATAGAAGTCAGGGCTCGAAATAAGTCCTGTCCAGTAATCTGGGACGAGTAGAAATTCTTGCAGGGCAAGTACATGTAAAATTTATAGCCCGTAATGCAGGCATTTTCTTTGGGCAAGCGAATGTTTTTGCTCGCGATAATGCCATGTTGAAACTCCAAAAGAGAGGAGGAAATGGAGCAAGTCTTTTGTCCTAGCACCTACCCTAAGGGTTGCTATTTCTAGTTTGTTTTTTTGTACTCTCCCCAATCTTACTCTGTCATTAAATTAAAGATGGCGGCTACAACAATACAAACATAAAGAAGCAGTGTTCACCTGCCCAAAATACACCTGCACTGCAGGCTAAAAATGTAAATTTAAAAAGCTCAATTATCCAACAGGCAAGAATCCAGGTACAGCCTGTAAGTCATCCTTTAGTTAGATGTAAATCATTGACTTAGACAAGCAAAAAGTGACTCTGAGAGCTGCTTGCCCAAGGGACAAGCTGGAGTTCAAGCTTTTTTTCCAGCCTTGAGAAGTTCATGTTAAGAGAGAATTATCAACTAACCTTTTTGGTGTCTGTTGTTCCACAATCTGCTGCGCTGTTTCTTTCAAGTAGACTTCCCAATCTGCTTCTTGTACAACTTGATCTGGGGTAAAGGGATACCTAATTGAAGAAAAACAGAGCACTTACCATTAAAAGAAGTTCTGGCTTGAAATTCCACATTCTGATTGCACAGACCTGACCCAAGCCACCACATGTATGATTGTGTTACTCTTAAGCTGAATACAGGAGACCAATGTAGGGACAACAATTTTGTTAAATGGAAAGAGACATTTCAGTCTGACTGGTAGGACCAGTCAATGCAGACCACCTTTGTCCCAAATAATTTGGTCAGACCGAACTGAAATGGTCTGTTCCATTTGATTTCCATTCAAAATTTTGGACTGAATGGAAAGTGTCCAGCATTTTACAGGATGCATGTTGAAAGGTGAACAGCCTTTCCCAGAAGGCTAATTTGGGTTTTACATGTATCTAGTACATACTGTTGAACTCTGCAGGCTTCACACATAAGCAAGGCCCTTCGAAGATTCCTGTTTGACTTCTCGGCAATTCTCTTGGATAGCTCTGCTGGGAGAGTCAGACCCTCTTTCTTGCAAACATTATGCAAGATTTGACAGATCTGAAGAAGAGAGATAAGGAGGTAAAGAAATGTTCCAAAGAATGTCACAACAAGTTTCCTACAAATTCCTCACAACTTTAAGGGTTTAATAAAGTAAAGACAAACCAATCAAAATTTAAGATGTTTTGGTGGGGAGTTGTGCAATATGAAAGGACTGAGATTTCTAATAACAACTATTTTTATAACATAACTCCAATCCACTTTGAATATCAATAAAATACACGTACAAGGCATATAAGTTCTTTTCACAATAATATTAATCGGAATGTTTAATAGTATAGCTGTATAAGCAATGAAACACAACTTTTGTACATCTCAAGTTTGAAGAACGGCATACACTGTATAATTAGCAGTCCTTAATATTCAGTAAAATTCAGGGTTGTCAGGAAGTTTTGAAGTATATGGCTGAGTTGTCAAAGTAAAGCGGCCAGTCCAGGGATATTTTATTAAAAAATGCCATCCATAAAGAAATGCCAAGCAGAGTAGACAGCCGATACTAACCAAGTAGGCGGCAATTTCTGCTGGCAGCTGGCTACTTTTGACAACCCTGATTATTGAATTTTGGACTTACATGGCAAAGATATAAACAAATAAATAAATAAACAAATACAAATATAGTGACATCTAACAACTGAAAGGTGTCAACTTTTGGGAATAGATCATAGGTATTGGTAGTTGGTGTTACATTGTATACCACTCAGTTTTGCAGGTCCTTTGTAATTCATGGAGAAAGGTCAGTGTTGTAAGTGAGGAGTGTGCACATTGAATTAGTTACACAATACATATACAGCCTCTAACCATGATTCTCACACATTACCTCTTCTATTGTAGGTGCTGCAACTCTGACTCCCAGACAACGACTTCGAATTGCAGGAATTACTTTGCTTGTTGAGTTACAACACAAGATCAGTCGGCACGTTGCTGTGTACTTTTCCATGGTCCGCCGAAGTGAATGTTGAGCATCCTTTGTTAGTCTGTCCACTTCAGTCAAGACTACAACTGTAAAAAGCATTCAACATTAGGGATGTGCTTAAGTGACACCCTAACTCTTACACCCACCCTCTTTGCTACAGTATCTGGATTGGTGTGTGTGACATGTCAAGACAAAAGTTTTAATACCTCTACCAATGGTGAAAAAGAGATGAATTACAAGGTGAATTAATATTTGATGCAAATGTATATGACTTTATATAATAGAAGGAAAATAGACTCTAACTCATCAAAACACTAATCCCTGGCATGCGATCCCTACACATGGGTTACCAAAGTGCCGACTTTTCTCTACTGTCACATTTAGTTGCAAAAACGTTTTTCCACTTGCCATGGGGACCAAAATGGTTGCACGTTAGGAGCACTGGTTGGAGCTGTTTGCTGTTGTTTAACTCTTGATCTAGAAGGGAGTTCTGGTTCAAGTGTGAGGGCAAATTCTGTAATATCATTAGTGTATGTAGATGTGTCTATAGTCTTTTTTTGTTGTTCATTTGTTTCTTTTTGGTAATGCAGGTACATGTCCTGCAGGTGTACTGTAATGTACGAATGTATTGTAGTAATAATAATAAAAAATAAATAAAAATATAAAAACTCTCTATAAGGGTGTCACCTCTCTAAGATGGATACTTGGTGCTAAGTCCCAAATGACGTCTACGTTACTAAGAGGGAGCTGACTCTACATATACCTTTAAATTCTTTTTGAGTTGATGATTCAAGCTGGTGTGACTGAGCAACAGTCTTGATAAGTTCCTGGACAACAACACGATCATAAATCCCTGCATCACTGAAACATAAATTATTAGAGAGATTTTAGATGTGGTTGCACAAACTGTTGGCAAGCAATTTCCTGCAGTATTTCTATCATGGTGTGGATTTCAGGGTTTTTATTAGGTGCCAGCAACCTGCTACTTCTAGGTCTGAGCTGTCTACTTTTGGGGGAAAATAGGTCAAGTGAGGGAGAGACAGCCTGAAAATACCTACAGCACTTAATTACCAAGCCACCTACTTTTACATTCTAGCTGTCTACTTTAAAACTTAATAAGAACCCTGGGATTTACACACCAAGATAAAAGTGTCTTTTTTGAGTATATTTCCTGCAATACTCACCACCTGTAATTTGTCGATTACATGTACCTCAGGATTTCATCACAATACTACTGATAAGGTTTTTTTAACATTGGACATACATGTTATGTATCCAAGGGTGGAGCAGTGCTGAGTGCACTCGCCTCCTGTCAATGTGGCCCAGGTCAAAACCCCTATGTTTACGCCATTTGCGGGTTAAGTTTGTTTTAGGTTCTCTTTTTTGCTCCATAAGCTTTTCCTCCAAATATTTTGGTTTTTCCCTCTCTGCGAAAACCAGCATTTTTTCCAAGTTCTAATTTGACAAGGAATGGTGAACAAAAAACCAGTATGTGGATGTGCTTACTCTAAAACATTATTAATTTTATTCAAGGTTATGTCCCATATTAAAATTTATCTCTGGAAAAATCAGTAAGGCAAGCATTTTTATTCTTTCTGTCAGGTAAAAGGTCTTAGCTCTTGGTAAAAATGTTTAGTGTAACCATGTAGCTTTAACAGATGTGTAAAAAGTACAGAAATTTAAAGGAAAGAAATAATGAAGAGAAACTCATTTGGACCAGTATCCTAACTGGAGGCTTTTCTAGGGGCTGTGAAGCCAAGAAACTTGATTTTAGCAAGGTCTGATACAATGGCATTGAAAATTAACTTTAAGATAATTTTACCTTGGATTGACTTCTAAATGGTAAGCACTACCAATTGTTGACATTTCAATCTTCTTATTTGAAGGTGTCTGGTCGAAAAAAATAAACAATAACAAGAATAAATAAATGAGTTTGAAGTCTATACTGTACATTTACGAACTACAAGCCTAGTTTTATCAGATAGACCCAGTGCTTGTGAGCCATCATTGCCAACCAAAAAGTGACATAATGTAGCTTACAGTGCAGCAAGGAAAATAAAGTAACTTAGGCCCTGTTCGCACTACGACAAAAAAGAGAGTTGAGCATCTGCAAGAAAAATCTTGAAAATTTTGTACTCACCAGTTTTTTGTTTTTACAACCTTGTTTGCATCTGAGACATGAGAAATTTTTTGTCTAACCAGAAATGTCAAGTAAAGGAACTTGGTCATGTACGTGAAATAAGATGACCCGACAAAGGATAGCTTCCAAGGAACAAAGAAGTGTGTCACCTGACAAAAAATAATTGTAGGCCTCCAAATCTTCTCAAAGACATATTTGAACTTTGGTGACAGTTGAGAAAATTTTGGTCGGTGAAAAAAAAACATTCGCACTAGAAATGGGTTCCTATTGACAGGGTTTTTTGCAAAACAAACAAAATTTTGCCTAGTGCAAACAGGGCCTTAGTAAGATATTTATCACATCTACAGGCCCCACTTGTTCAGATGTTGGATAGCACTTTATCAGATAAATCAATATCCAGTGGATAATTACAGTGTACATGTATTAGGGAAACCAACTGCAGTATCCACTAGATAGTGATAGTGATTTATCCAGTGGATAGCCTTTCCACTTTTTGTACAATTGGGACCAGGTGTTTAAAACAGGTTTACATGAATATCAAGGCCCTGCCAGGGTAAATCCTGACAAGCGACATGACCCAAAAAGTAGCGACAGAGCATAAAATGATATCACAACAAGAGACAACCTCCCTCGGCCAAATTGCGGTAGTGATGGCAAAGATGTGAATAAGCGATAAAGAACTGGTTTGGCTAGTTTATCACCAGTCTGAATGCCAAGAAGAACTATGGTGTTCGATAAACGAAATGTTAACTAAGAAATTGCAGAACTGTAATGGTTTTTTTACAACGCATCGCTAATCCTGATTTCTAAAATTCCGACAAAAACAGAATTTTTTTTCAATTTCCAACAGCAACGTGAAGCATTTAAACATCAACGTCTTAATATTCAGACGAGCGACATGGGACCCCCCCTGGCAGGGCCTCAATATTGCTCTAATGAACACATTGACAGGCAGATGAATTGACAGATAAACAGAGGCAGTCTGCCTGCAATACTGAGTACAGCTGGTCAGAGCAACCATTCATAGAACACAGACTAACTAAATGTAAAAGATCAAACTATACACACTACACGTACAGTAAAATTCTGTTGTTCAATTCTTAATTTCTCCACACCAGCACCATAAAGTTCCCTCAAAATGCACATTATTCTTGTTTTCTTCCCAGACCCTGAGGGGCCATAAACCAGCAAGTGTGGAAAATCACCACAGTGCACCTTAAAAAGAATAAAAAACAAGGATGAATTGTAAGTCACAAATAGTTACCCGAGCGAACCTTGTAAGTTAGTTTGTAACTCGTAATAAGCTTAAAATGACTCGATCCATCATGGCGTTGGAGATCGTACGAAATGTTCGTAAACACCTCCCTTACCAATTTCTTTAAATGAGTTGCGAGATCCTTATGGTAATCTAGCTTGGATAAAGAGGTAGGACGATATTTATCTACCCACAAACTCATGTTACTACAAGGAAATCCTTCAAAACATCAAGAGAGTACAGAAACTATACAACACCAAACTTCTGCTTCTGAGTCAATTCTTCTCTTTGGCGCCAAATAAAAGCATGTGAGCCCGCAATGAAGGACATCCGCAGTAATTACTTCATATATGTTACATGAGATACATGCTCTGAAGGCGTGTCTTCTCTCCGCAATTTATGGAGCAAGCTCAGTTGTGCGAGTTCAGGGCAAAATTTTGGCGAGGAGAGGAGAATGGGTTTTTCCTCGCTGGATGTCGGCTCCGCCGCCAAAATAATTTTCCCCGAATTCGCACAAGTGAGCCAGTTCGCAGGCTACGCAGGCTAACCTGAAACAGCTACTCCACGTATGATCAACGCACGGTTTCCTCCGTTTTTAAGACATCAGTCAGATTTTGAAGAGATATTAGAGAGTCCGATCAGGGTTTAATATGGGCTCTACAAAAAAAGGTCCCGGGGATAGCAAAATCCCTTTGCTTAGGAAAAGAAAACTATTTATTAATGAAATGAGTGAAAGGGTCACAATTAACAAACCAAACGCCGCCTCAAGGACCGTTTTAATGAACATAGACGCCCTATACTTAACCCCTCCGGTAGTTACATCCAAGCCGCAGTTTCAGAATACTTTCCCAGCAATAGCCACTCTATTTCCCATAATTTCTTATCACATTTGAAACACTTAGATATGAACGCGATTGTCTTAGGAAAGCACGTGAGACGCACCTCATTCATAAACCAAAACCATCTAGCCTCTGGGAATGAACAAACGTGAAGAACAATAATCATTGTGTAATTTTTATCTTTTTTTTTCGGTTTATTTTTCTTAGCAGCCACATCTTACCATGTCATTAGTATATAATTTGTACATTCTTGGTTTTCCCTAATAACCTGATGAAGACTGGTTTTGGCCGGTCGAAATATTGTATACCTCAGCCTTTTTCGCATTGTTTGATCAGCCTTTGCAATAGTCTTTTTGACATTGATTCTATTCTTAACATTCTCACCAAACCTCTTCACGGAAACTTAGGACAAAAATACCTGCTGCGCATAGAACTATGACGAAGTTTTTGCTCTAATTTTTCGGTTTGAACGTGATTGTTACGAAAATTTGAGAAGAACTACAGCTGTCATTCAGTTAGCGTGCAAGCAAGCTCTCCATTTGGGGGAGGCGCGAGAAGTCGCCCGAGAGCAGCACGCGAAAAAAGACTCGAGTGCGAGGGATGACTCTTGAGTACTCCTCACGCTCGCGCGTTATCTCGCGGCTAGCTTGCTTCACGCCTTCGCCATAAATGGAGAGGTTAATAGCGGTTTATCAATTAGTAATAATATGAAATAATCCGATTTTATGAAATTTGGCACCTCAAACTGTAGCGAAAGGCCGCCAATCTGGCAACTTATGTTCAGGGGTCGAATCCAAGGAATAGCGGTTTGAATAGCGTTTTGATTGTAATTAGATAATATGGTCCTTCTTAAATTAAAAAGTCTGATAAACATTTGTATTTCACTTTTAATTTTCATTTATTGGTTTATTCAGATATTTACAATTTTATTTTCTCACTGCCCGCAAATAGCAAAGGCTACTCTAGGTGGACAGTGTCTATTTAATAAGCACTTATGGTATATATTTTAAGGTTACATAAATACATTAAGTTGCAAGGAACGGAAAAAAGGTTACGTGAAAAACATAGCTGAGATTAACTGGAATAAAGAATATAAGTCAGACGCTTACTTCTTCAAAGCCTCGTTTTTTCTTGAAGGGATTTGGCACTGGGATTTGAATCGAATTTGACTTTCGAGTCATTAAATCAAAATTTCACTATTAGTCGCGGAGCTCAATAACACACGTCTGCACTGTACCCAAACATGCACAGATCATTATAGATCATACATTACACATAAAAAATACTCCTTCTTTTATAAACTGTTCAGTTTAATTTCAATAATCCAAGAAAGGGCAATTAACGTATTGCTAAAAAGACATGGACCGTACAGTTTGTTATATACTGTAGCTACAAATCGAATACAAAACAATGTATGATTAAAATATACTTAAGACATCGAGAACACCTCTTAAACGACAACAGACTGAGTACTCGTCAGATTCCGATCCGGCTTCTGTTAATTCGCGCTTCAGTACTTAAACTATTCAATATTCAGAATGAATTTTTTCCGCCTCAGCCGAAAGAATCGTGACTAGTCTCCGCCGCCAAAATTATTTTACCTGAATTTGCACAACCTGAGCTTGTTCGCGGGCTATACTTTAAGGTAATAGTATGCGACAGTGTTATGTGAACTATCCATAAGCCAAAAAAACTTTGCATAAAGAAGAACATCCCATCGTGCTATAACCGAAAAATCTGGGAAGAACTGGTTGATTATTAGCTGAAATAGTCGTTAAAAATGGTGTAACATCTTGAACTCGCCACCTAATGCCACTTGCTTAGTAGAAGAAGGGCGATTGCGACATAATATTGGGAAAGGCTATTAGCGCAGTGGACCTTAAATAAAAGCTAACCTAAAATTCTAAGACTCTATTCTAGAAATTAAACATTAACTTGCTGGCTGGAATCGTGTCAGTTCTAATACAACATATGTCGGCCTTGTGGGCTCTTCTTACTAAACTGACCAAGGGTTGCTTAAGTTCCCTTGCCTGATGTCAATTGTGCCAGCCGGAACACAATGTTCGAAAAAAAAAAACTGATCATAAAGCATCGTCACCTTGTCTTTCCTAATCCTAGCTATGGATTAGATTTATCTGCCTGCAGCTGGTCAGGCCAGGTAAGGTTAATGTATATGTTTTCAGACTTGAAAGCATATCTAAACTTATCTCAGACAGCTTATTTATCCATAGAAGAGCTGCTCATAGCCGAAAGATACGGCTGTGTTTATTTAAAGTTGCTACTGAAATAACTATCCTTGAAGGATTAGTAAAACTCGTCAAAATGTTTACCGCAGAATATAATTCAATTTGATAACTGATATTCAGTTCTCAGATTGATGTTGGTCGGAGTTATCATCGGCATACTTACGACAAAGTTTAGTGAAATGCCCTTCTTCGTTCTGAAGTAAAATTTCTGGTTTGTCATACTCAACAACTCTCCCGTGATCCAGGACCAAAATTCGATCATAATCCATGATTGTGTTCAATCGATGGGCAACTGTAATCACGGTACAACGTTTAAATTTCGTGCGAATTGTTTCCTGAATTAATTGATCCGTTTTGTGATCCACATTTGCCGTTGCTTCATCCAGTACTATGATTTTGTTCTTCCTCAATAACGCACGAGCCAGACACAAAAGTTGCCTTTCTCCGGTGCTGAAATTGCTGCCGCTTTCCTTAACCAACTG